TAACTGGAGACCAAAATATTCCAAGAAAACAACCCTCAATGAGTGTAGTATCGAGTATCTACCAACTTCGGACTGCACCAAAGTCAGTCATCTCACTACCCCTAAAAAGGCCAAGATGGTCAAGTAAGGTTCTAAGGTCAATTGATGCTTCACGACACCACGTGGCGGCCCCGTACTCTCCCTGACTTAACTCAAGGATTACCGGTACTCACCAAAGTGCCACATCAATGTAGCTACTGTTTCAACCATGTCGGTATACCCTGCACAATTCCCTCACAATTTGTTGCTACTTACCTAAAGGGCATCCCCAGATCCGGGTTAGGATCTATAAAACTCCGATACAAACCCACAAAATTTAAAGCATACAAAGCATACAATTGAAAACACAAGTGATCTAATCCTAAGGTACACCTCACTTATAATTAGTCCCCAGCAGAGTCGCCAGTTCTGTGATCGGTGGGAACGAGAACTGACTGCTTTTGGAATGCTGATTCGCGTTTGCGTTTGTTTTTGCAAAATGTCGCGGTAAGCAAGAGTCGCCACCGTCTTTTATTTTATCCAACAAGGAAAGGACAAAAGCACAGAAAAATTCCTTTTCGAGATGTTTCTCAGGTTCGGGAGGTAGATTATAGAAAGGGAAGGTATTAGCACCCTTTCTATCCGTGGTTATCCACGGGCTCTTAGGTACTTGCTCACTATGTTTTCAAAAGTTTGATTTTCTTTGTGTTTGTGGGTTTTGAAAAGAGTTTTGTTTTGTTTTTTGAAGAAAGTGTAAGTGCGGAAATTTTAGTTTTGTTTTTTAAAGAAAGTGTAAGTGCGAAAAGTTTTGTTTTGTTTTTTAAAGGAGCAAGTACTTAAGAACCTCTACCTACTCGAAAAGGAATTAAATTGTGCAAACGTCCTTGAGACAGTGCTATCCAACTATTGAGGAGTAGATAGCACCGTCGTTGGAGTTTTCGGGTCAATTCGATTTAAGGGACGTGTGGTCACTAAAGCAATGTTAAGATTCTTTAGCGGTAACCCTAATGTCTTAGATCATTTTTATCGAGGCAACCGTTTCGAGGCAACTTATGATCTTGGGACAAAAGGACGACCTCTAAAACATCCTATACTTAATGACCACTTTCGAGGCAACCAAGTGAGGCGTACCCTAAGAGTGGCATGTGCAAGTGTATTATTTTCAGTTATATTATCTTTATACATGTTATGGTGAGCTACGATTGATTTTAAGTTAGGAGTTTAATCTTATCATGCATAGCCTAGTTCGCATACATCTAAACAGTTAATATATGTACAGGAATTTAAAGTGCGGGAATTGTAAATCCTATGCTATTACAAGGCTTCGGGGAGGGGGATTATTTACATGTCCAAAAATTGGGGGAATAAAAAAATAGTAAAGTGTAAAAGGCCTTAGTTAAGTTATTACAAACCAATAAGCAGTTACCATAAAATAAACACGCGTGAATCTAAAAAAATCCTAAGAATAAGAACTCTTTTTTTGTTGTTTTATTTTATTTTTTTGGGAAAATGCTAAATGTTCAATTTAAGTCAAATTTAATTAATTAGAAATACTGATTAAAATTAACTCTAAAACAAACCTAATATTTTTGCATTTTTTTGGTTTATGAAAAGGATTGAATTCAAATAAATCCTAAGTCTACTGATTTTTAAAATTGGAGAAAATAAGTTAAAATAGTTAACTAAATTAAATCCTAATTCTAAGTTACTTATTTTTATGATTTTTATGTTGATTAAAAAAAAACAAATAAAATGGTCCAAACGAAAATGAAATCAGGCAGTAAATCAAGGAAAAAAATGATTCTGGAGGCCTGGGTCGAAAGAAGTGTGGGCTGTCTCTCGACCCAGTGAAGAGGCTGGATCGAAGGTGCATGAGGGGCTGCACTCTGACGGTGTTCGATCTGGAAATCCTGGGTCCAATTCGAAGTTAAACTGCTGAGCTTCGAAACTCTGAACAGGAATCTGAGAATGTAGTTCCTGCAAAACGAAACAGATGTTAAAGGTCCAGGGGGGACTTTACCCCCCTGATTCGAATATCCTCCCTATTCGCACCTGCTGAATCTGGGTTTGGGTTTATTTTATCCTGGGATTCGAAGGAGAAACTCAGATTGTGCCCAAGCATTTGCACAATCTCATCTCTGCGTTGTAGCTTACATTAAATCATTCATAAACAATAGTAATAACATGAATATGCAATCAAAATGAATTTAAAACTGAGTTTGAGATTAGATTTTTTTCTTTTACCAAACAGAGGTGTTGGGATCTGTGGTTCTGAGTATGGAATGGCTGGTGCAGGGATTGGGTATGGCTTCCTGGAAGTGCTGATGATTTTTGGCAGCGTATCTCCAAGTTCTCCTTGTTTCTTTTCTCTATTTTTTCTGTATATTTTCGTGTGTCCGAATATGTATGCTGGCCTCTGTATTTATAGGCGTGTGAGGGTGCAGTAATGGCAAGAGACAGCCATTAAACAGGCCATTAAAGCCATGAGACAAGAATCAGACACATTAAATAATTTCCTTTTTTGAAACATTCGTGTCCCTTGAATGAACCTGGACGCTTTTGAATTTCGAATGCCTTCATACCCTGCTCTTCGATTGGTCCTAAGTTGCCTCCTTCGAATGGACTTCCCATGTACCTTTCGAATGAGCCTTCTGAATGCTTCTTCGAATGGTCTTGAGTTGCTTCCTTCGAATGGACTTCCCATGTATCTTTCGAATGGGCCTTCTGAATGCTTCTTCGAATGGTCTTGAGTTGTACATAATCACTTCTGGTCGAATCAGCTCTTTAGGAACAGAAAAGGCAAGAATCTGGACTTTAACTCAGGAATTAAATCCACAAACAGCATTTAATTATTTCCATATTTGCAAGGGAAACACGCCATTTTCTCATGTTCAGTGTACCTGGACATGTTTTTTTTTGAGTGCCCTCTTGATGGCTCTGTTAACAGGCCAGTCGAAAGGCTTTTTTCATGCTAATCGAAGGATCCCTTGACAAGCCAATTGAAAGGCTTGGCCCAGGGTGCCAAACGAAAAGGTCTTTCAGAATCCCAATTGAAAGCCTTGACACAATACCAATCGAAGTACTTGTCCATAATACCAATCGAAAGGCTCCTTCAGAACACCAATCGAAGGGTCTTTCAGAATGCAAATCGAAGTGCTTGTCCAGAATGTCAATTGAAAGGCTCCTTCAGAAAACCAATCAAAGGGTCTTTCAGAATGCAAATTGAAGTGCTTGTCCAGAATGCCAATCGAAAGGCTCCTTCAGAACACCAATCGAAGGGTCTTTTAGAATGCAAATCGAAGTGCTTGTCCAGAATTCCAATCGAAAGGCTCCTTCAGAACACCAATCGAAGGGTCTCTCAGAATGCCAATTGAAAAGTGCTTAAAGTAACACTCAAAAAATTTCTTTTTCCTTAGGCAAGAGTTTATGGTCAACCATGTAAGGGGAAGACTTTGGAAAACATGAGAGGGAAAATTTTGGGGTGCACCAGGTGTGATATTTTATCATCTGGATTATTGATGTTTCGCCATCTTTACCATGTTATTTTGTTACCTTTTAGCCGATGTTTCGCCATTGCATATGTTTATTGTCGATGTTTCTCCATCGCACATGTTTGTTATCATACCTTGATTTTCAATATCACTGTTAGGTGTGATGTTTTATCATCTGTATTATTGATGTTTCGCCATCTTTGTCATGTTATTTTGTTATCTTTTAGCTGATGCTTCGCTGTCACATATGTTTGTTTTCGATGTTTCACCATCGCACATGTTTGTTATCCTACTTTGATTTTCGATATCATTGTTAGGTGTATTGTTTCATCGTCTTGTCTGATATTTTATCATCTTATCTGAGTTTGTGTTACCATGCGATGTCTTGTCATTCCTTTTTTATTGTTTTATCATAGTTGTTGATGTTTTGCCATTTTAACTGATGTTTTGCCATCTTGATTGTTGCTTTTGTCTTCTTAACTAAAAAATACAAACCAACCAAAATATATGAGCCGAACTATGACTGCTCTGATTCCTTAAAAAGATACGTATGCAGAGGCTTTTTTGGGGCCTAATCGAGCATATATTTGTAAATATTCCTTTCTTTTCCCCACACTTTCTTTTCCTTCTTCTTTGCATGCATTCCCTTTTCATCTTTAAGCCTTAGACATAGATTTTACACACCTATTATATTAGACAACAAGAGTGGATAACGTAGAGTACTACGAGCGTGTGGGGTGCTAATACCTTTCTTTAGCGTAACAGACTCCCTTACCCGATCTCTCGGTCGCAAGATTTTGATTTCACTCTTCTCAGATTTTCTCAATGTCTACCTTTCCCTTCCTATTGGGATAAAAGACGTTCAGTGGTGACTTCATTGATTTTTATATCAGATGACAGTTCGGCTAGTTGTTTCACCGACTACAAATCATCTTCCGACCACTTAACAGTGGAATTGGCAACTTCTTGCAATCTCAAAAAATTAATTAGTATATGCAAAAAGAGTTCCAAGTGATAAGGCATGAAAATAAGTATGAAGTTTTTAATGCCACTTTGAAAATAAGTATGAACATCTTGCAATACATCAAAGTAGCACAACTTTGAAAATAAGTATGAAAGTTCATGTCATATAAAAGTGCATGAATGATGAATACATTCGGTATCCTCTGGTTATACTCCTAAATCAAAGATTATGTCACAGAAAAATTAATGAATTACTGAAAGATATGTTCTAGATCTGAAGCATGTACAAATATATATTATTGTCTGCTAGGTTTATAATATATATTTCAATTCTGGAAATGTGAAGGATTCACTTATGTGCATGTTATTGAAACTAAACTGAATATAACATGAGGTTGTGGAACATTTTTTTCAGGAACACCAAACGTTTTCTTTTTCTTGAGAATTCTGTATTTTTGTACAAAGAGGAACAAAAATGATATCAGTAAGAGAACTTAGAAAATGTAAGCGGAAAAAATAGAAGGTGAATTATGTGTTCAAACTCCATCCATGAGCTTCATCCAATATGATAATAGAATAATCTCTTAGTTCTAGACCAGCTAGACTTTCTTGAAGAAGAAAGTCGTCACTTAGATACCTATTTAAGTTGAACAGAACGAAATTGAATCAATGAACAATGATGAGAAATAATAAAGCAATCGAGAATGAAATTGAGTAAATAGTAAGTAATAAATACATGATGCGTGTGTTGCAAGAAGTTCTATCTCTGAATCTAATGGCATAACCTACTTCCTCTCTGAGCTGTAAACACCAAGCTCTTGAGCAACTCGATTATGGAAGTTAAATTAGAAAGATGTTGAGAAAATGCTAGGGTTTGATGGAAAGATGAAATTGAAGGGAATACCTGACAACGGAGACCGCATGCGACAAGGTTCAGTGGCCGCGATTTTGAAGTAACCGCGGCGATGAAACATATGAGAGAGCTAAGTGCACTTGCCAGAGCCTGTTTCTCCAAGCTGAGAATGAAGCTTCGAACCTTTTCTCCAAAATTAGATGAAAATCTAGCATCACGAACACCGCCACTACCAGCTCCAATAATAAACAAATCAAAGTCATAACCCTTCCCTTGTTCTTCACCTATCTTCAAATCAAGTTCACCATTGTTAAACATCTTTCTAGCCATCGCAATCGAACTAAAACCTAAAACATCATCATCATCACCATCGTTAAAGTTAAAATTAAAATCTAAATCTAAATCAGAAACTAAAACAACAAATTAGGTTAAAATTCAGTACGCATAAAACAAATCTAAACAATACTTTGTTTTATAGAAATCGAAACACAGAAAGCAATATGGATGAAAAATACAGTTAAAAATGAATATTGCTTTCTGTAGACGAATTCGAAACAGAGAAAAGATGATTTGTAAGATTAAAAAATGAAGGGCCATCTCTTATAATGATTGAGTATAGTGCATCACAAGTGGAATGGATGGAAATAATTCAAATGAAACCTAAATTATTTTTAGGTATTCTGAATATAAGGAAGATTCCCAAGGAATGCAATTTAATCTGTGTATTGGGACTGAAGGTTTCAATACATGGAAAAGTAGGATAAATAATTATCATGCAGTAAATATAAATTTGAAAGTAAAGAAATGATTAGAGAATGAAATTACCTTTAGGTCCTTGGAAATCCATGTTAAAATTGATTTTGTTGGGTTAATAATGTAATTATGGTAGTAATCTCTTTTATTATATTAAAAATAGATAATATAATCAACCTCAAATCTTTACAAATTAAATCACTAATTTACAAAAAATCTAAAATCTAATTTACAATTGAATCAATCGAATACCTAAATCAAATCTAATCTAACTCTAATTCTTCAATCAGACTAATTTCTAACACAATCTTTTATCAATCAACAATTTTGTAACGAAAATCAACAAATATTTCCTAAAATTATTAGTCCAAAACACAATAAAAACCTCTAAAAATAAGAACAAAGGAGAGGAAATCTGGGACCGAAAATTAACGAAAGAAGAAGAAGGAGAAGAAGGAGATTGTGTCGCTGGAGCATTTCTTTGCATAACCAATCTAGGGTTTATGAACAGAAACTCTAAGATATTCAATTAACGTCGTGCATCCGTTGTAGCCGCCACCATCCTCTGATACCTGCAAACGAAAAGAGAAGGGATCCGAAGCGAATCCAGAGAAGACCAAAATAAGAAGATTAACACAAACAGAATCACGATAAGAAAGGTAATTTGCTGAAATGCTTAGCTTAGGGTTTTTTGGATTTGTGGTTGTGATTATGGTTCAGTAGTTGGGTTGGGGTTGTTGATGTTCCAAGATCACCGTCGTGTTGGAGGGTTCTGGGTTAAGATACTTTTAGGGTTTATGTTGTTAGAAGAAGAAGAAGAAGAATGAGAGAACGAGAGAGAGAGAGAGAGAGAGAGAGAGAGGGAGAGAGAGATTCGGACGGAAATGAAAACAAAATGAAAGAATAAGAAAAATGTACTCCTTCCATGTTTGATCTCGGAAGGGACACGTGGCCAACAACTGGCCACGTGATCCCATACTCCCTCACCATACACCCTCACGTCCCCGCCTTCTGATCACAATCAAGCGATCATCCACTGCGCGAGACCATGATAACGCCATACGCCTCTCACAGAAGAGCAAAAATGGATCTCCTAAAATCAAACCTAGGCTTAAGCCTAAATCTATGCACCCCCCACCCCCGCCCCCACCCCCCAATTACTACTCCAGAATATTTGAGCTAAGCCTACACCCTCCATGCTTTGGGTTGTTGTACAAGTTTCTTGGGTTTAAGGCCCATTGATAGTTGCACCCTATTATTTTACTACTCTAATTAAACATACACCCCCTGCATTTTTTTAAAAATTAATTTGTTTATTTGTATAATTTTATTTATTTGTTTGTTTATTATCATTTTGTTACTTGTCGCATTAAAATACATTTTTGCATATAAAAATTATTAATAAATAATTGTTATATTATTATTAAAAATATCTAACATATTTTTAATAATTAGAAAATAATTATTTTTTAATTTTAAAATAGTAACCTTATTTTTAATTGCATTTAATCTTTTCTCATTCGAAATTTATTTTTTGCATACGTATTTAAAATAGCTAACCAATCAAATACTAATTTATTTTTACTAACTTAATTTCAATTGTAACTTATTTTCAAAAAAAGGATTATGGAGATTTTTCTTATTAACTATGAACTTCGTCTATGATTCCGCTATTTTCAAACTCAGACTTGGTTCAAAGAGAATTCGAAATATCCCCACAGTCCATAAAAAACTAACCAAACACCTACGAACTACGAATTGGGACTCTGATTCCTCATAAGAGGATACATAGAAATACGATTTATAATTGTGGCGAATCCCCTAATTAAAATTTTAAAAGCCTATTCCTAAACCTTAAACTTAAACCCTAGTATCCTTGTGAACAAGGTACATGAGGGGTGCTTAACACCTTCCCTTCGTCTAAAGTGAATCAAGAACTTAGAATCCGTGTACAATTAGGGTTATTCCATTATTCACCCAATGTTAGGATAAAAAGTAGTGGTGGGCGACTCTCTTATTTTTTTCCAGTTACAACAGTTGGCGACTCTGTTGGGGATACAACCATATGGTTTAAAAAAATCTCTATTTTTAGGTTTAGGGTTTTTCTAGGGTTTCTTTTCTATTTTTGGTATGCTTTTGTTTCTATATATGTTATTTTTGGTTTATTCATTTTCTATATTATTTGTTTACATTATCTTTATTATCATTGTTGGTGGGATTTTAAATTCAAAAAAATTCAAAACCTTAGAAAGAAGGATCATTTATTGGCCAAAGGGATACATCATCCCTATGAGTTTTTGTGATGACTTCGCCTAGAGCCGGTGAAATTCCGAAAAAGGAATATGTCTCAAGAGCTAGCCTTTTGGGGGATAGGACTTTGGAATGAAGCTTATGACTTTTTGTATAACCTTAAACCAAAATCTCATGGTGAGACCTTTTACGACCTTAGAGAAGAAAGTTTCGGTCTACAAAGAGGCTACGCTTAAGGGAGACCCTTGTTCCTTTCCCTTTAGTGTAATCTATGAAACACTTAAAGAAGACACCTTATGGGGAGGGTAGAATATCCGTAGGCCGAAACTAGGAACCTACCAACTAAGGATACCTTTCATAAATTTGGTTACTATGTTACATCATCATGCATGCATACATTTCATATTTCGAATATTCATTATTTTGCATTTTCTTGGTTGTCTTATTCACAAGATAAAAAAAATTAATCAAAGGTTTTTGGTGAGCATCCTAAAAAATGGATGCCAGGGGAAAACAACTTGTCTGTGTTTTTGGTGTAATTCTATTTCTGCGGACTTTGGACTATATTGACCCTGCAACTATTAGTGTGTTTTGGGGCACGAAAGTGCTAAATATGGATCCAACTCCTGCTTTGCTAGCCAATGTTTACTATTCTCTTCATACTCGTTATGAAAAGGGGAGGGGTGTGCTGAATTATTTCATCTCACTCTTATATTCTTGGTTTATGACTCATCTTTATAAGGAGGACTGCATGATTAAAACATTGACACGATATGAATGAGCTCAAAAATTAAGGGCTCTCACTAATGACTTTGTTCTATGGTATGCAAGGAAGCTAAACATTAGAGATATCATTTACAGTTGTTGAGACTTTCCGAATGTTCCTCTGATTGGGTCATGTGGTTGCATCAATTATAGCCCTACTTTAGACCTATGACAACTTGGGTATCCTTTGGAGGATAAACCCTCCGACGAGCAGCTTTAACAATTGATCATTCACGACTTAGGTAAAAATGATCGTGAGTTTCTCAACAAAATTATTCGAGTATGGAGTAAGGTTAACAAAAGAAAGGACGAAAGGAAGAATGTTATGGCGAGGGAACCCTACGCTCAATGGGTTTTAGATATGTTCAAGTTGTTAAACTATCTTTCAAAATTAATCCTGAGTACAAGTCTGAGTATAATCTTGGATAGACAACTTAAAGAAAGCCTTGGATTAATCTCAAAAGGAGAAATATGAATTGGAGCTTAGCCTTCATAACCTTGCTAAGGAGAAAAGACAGATGCAACGAGAGCTTGAGTCAAAAGACCAACAATTTCATAAAGACCATGAAGCATTTGAAAAAGAAAGCCTAAAGTGGAAGATTTCGACCGAAGGACTATTGAATGCTACTTTCAACTTGGATTCTCACAACCAAAGGTTAGATAATGTTTCTAGGGAAATTGGAAGATTAAATAGGTGGTACAAAAAAGTATTACAAGACAAAAAGGATATGGAAGCAAATCTGAGAGCCTAAATCCAAGGTTTATCCCAAGGAGCTCTAGATTATGAGGGTCAAATCCAGTTCCTTACTACCAGTCTCCAAGAAAGCTAGAAATCGGAGCTAAGAGAATTCCTTGTAAAGATGGAAGTAGAGAATCTTCTCTCTCAAATGATAGAAAAGTATGAGCAAGTCTGTCATGAGTTAGAAGACCTCGAAAAGAATTTCCTCATACAAAGGAGACTCTATACGAAGATGAGAGATGAAAAATTATATTGGAAAGGGAAGTTTGCAAAGATTGTCAAAGCCGGAGAAGATAATAAGAAGATAGTTCCAGATCTATACAAGGAATATCGATTCTACAAATACAAGCATGCAAGGCTCGCCTACTTAGCCAACGATCTTATTGGTGACATCCTTAGAAGTTTGAAAGATGCGGAAAATGTGATGGTCCCTCTCTAAAAAGATGTTAGAGACGTCCTCAAGCTCTGTAGGAAGATGGTTGACGACTTCAAAGCAGAGATCCACAAGCTCTCTTAGAAGACTCTTTTCCTTTTGTTATTTATTCCCGTAATTGATTTTTAATGTTTTGGATCGAATATTTTCAATATTTGAATTGTATTCCCTTTTAAGAACTGTTGTTATTTAAATAAAGTATCCTATTTCCATATCTCGATCGTGTATTTATTTTTAGATGCCCACCAATAAAAAGCAAAACCTGAAAAAAAATATGAAAGAAAAATCCAAGTTAATAAGACATTCAAAAATAAACTCTTAGCATATTCATATGCATTCATGCATTCACAAGCATCGTATCTCATATTTCATACAAAATGAAACTTATAA